CCTTTTCTCTATATTTTCACCAACACTTGTTATTTCTTGTCTTTTTGACACTAGCCATTCTGACTGGTGTGAGGTGATACATTGTGATTTTGATGTACATTATGGTTTTGATTTCCCCAATGATTAGTGATGGTCAGCATCTTTTCATGTGTCTGTTGGCCAACTGTATGTCTTCTTTAGAAAAATGTCAATCCTGGTCTTCTGTCCATTTTTGAACCAGATCGTTTGGATTTTTGGTGTTGAATTTTGTAAATTCTTTATATATTTTGGATATTAACCTCTTATTGGATATATCATTTACAAATATATGAATATGTCTCCTTAGGCAAGAAAAAAAAGCAAAAATAATTACTGGGACTATGCCAAAAATTAAAAGCTTTTAATATATATATTTTTTTAATTTGACACAGAGAGAGAGATCACAAGTAGGAAGAGAGGCAGACAGAGAGAGGGGGGTGAGCAGGCTCCCTGCTGAGCAGAGCACCACACTGGGGCTTGATCCCAGAACCCTGAGACCATGACCTGAGCTGAAAGCAGAGGGTTAACCCTCTGAGCCATCCAAGTGCCCCAATAAAAAGCTTTTTTGCACAACAAAGGAAACCATCAACAAAACAGAAAAAGCAACCTTTTGTTTTATTTTTTACATTTTTGTAAGTTTCTCTAGTGTGTACTGTAACAGAAGACAGGGAGATTCTCTTATCTGTTGCTGTATTCAGTCTTCTGTGATATATTTTTGAACCCGAGAAAAGAACTCTTATAAACAAGGAGATGATAGAATTTTTCCTCCATTACCACAGCCCAGTAATTGGGATTGTGGAAATTGTGAGTATTTTGTTGCAGGAGAAATCCATATTCACAAGATAGGTGGCTGGTAAAGGGAAGGCATCATAAGACCCCCTGAATGGATTCTGAGGACTTCTGGGCTTCTTGAAACATACTTGGAGTACTATAGAATATTGTTAATCACAGAATGTACTCTGAAGAGCATAAAAAGGGCCATGCTTAATCATGAAAGTATCCCTCAACATGTTTAAGACTTCCAGAATTTTTTTTTTATTTTGCCCTGAGTTATTTTCTATATGAACTTTATTTTTTTTTTTAATATTTTATTTATTTATTTGACAGACAGAGATCACAAGTAGACAGAGAGACAGGCAGAGAGAGAAGGGGAAGCAGGCTCCCTGCTGAGCAGAGAGCCCAATGCGGGGCTCAATCCCAGGACCCTGGGATCATGACCTGAGCCGAAGGCAGAGGCTTTAACCCACTGAGCCACCCAGGTGCCCTGAACTTTATTCTTTTGTTTAGTTATCACCTCTTACTGTCGAAACAAGGAGAAAATCAAAGTAGTGCTTTCCATGCTTCCATCTGTGATTTTTCACTTGGGTGTTCTTTAATAAGGGTTCTAATGCTTATGGACATTCAGCTATGAATTAACTTTAGGAAATTACCTGAAAATTATTTACTTCAACTTTTATTATTTTATTTTCTTATTTTTTATTTTATGAAAATATGAATATATAAATATATATATATATATATATATATATATTTTTTTTTTTTCCTGGTTAGAAAAGTAATCCATAGTTGGGGTTGAAAAGTGTGTAATGACCACTGAAGGCAATTTGATTTAGTCCTCTTCAGTCAAAATCATATATACGTTTACTCTTTGAGATATCAATTTTACTTCTAGATAATTAACTAGAACATTGATTGCAGTAGATAAAGATTATAATAGATAAATATTTGGATATTCTCAGGTGACATAATACATGCCCAATAGAAGACTATTACAAAGAAGACTGTAATTTGAACAGGAGTGAAGAATTTCTCTATGTAGTAACATGAATATATCCCTTGCATGTATTATTAGTTTGAGAAAAGAAGCATGGTACAGAAAAGGGTATATTTTGTAAGAGAAGGAGGAAATATAAAAAACTGTGTGTTATTATTTGCATAAAATTACAAGCAATTAATTAAGAGGTTAAGGAGGAAAGGGGTAAGGTACTGTTGAGAGGGGAAGGTCAAGAATTTTAATCAAAATGTATTTCACGGGTGCCTGGGTGGCTCAGTGGGTTAAGCCTCTGCCTTCGGCTCAGGTCATGATCTCAGGGTCCTGGGATCTAGCTCCACATCGGGCTCTCTGCTCAGTGGGGAGCCTGCTTCCCCTCTCTCTCTGCCTGCATCTCTGCCTACCTGTGATCTCTGTCTGTCAAATAAATAAATAAATAAAATCTTTAAAAAAAAATGTATTTCACTTTCTGTCTCGATAATTTTGACTACTCTAAGTACATACATAGTAAGCGGAATCATAGAGTATTTTGTCTTTCCGTGACTGGATTATTTTACTTGATATAACATCCTCAAGGTTCATCCATGTGTAGTATATGTCAGAATTAACTTTCTTTTTAAAGCTGAATAGTATTCCCTTTTGTGGATGTACCACAGTTTGCTTATCCCTTCATGCAGTGATGGACATTTAGGTTGCTTTCACTCGTAAAATATTGTGAATAATGCTGCTGGGAACACGGACATTGCTGTACAAATACCTGTTTGAGACCTTGCTAGCAATTCGCCTTCCGTGTCTCCTCTTAGAAGCTCAAATCTCCAGTAGTAGACTGCAGAGATCCAAGATGGTTACATTACACAGATTCTGAAATTGCTGCCAGGATAGCTCTTACTCTTCTACCATCTGTTTCAAATCCATCTTTATACTAATTTCTTTCTTTTTTTTTTTTTTTAAGATTTTATTGATTTGACAGACAGAGATCACAAGTAGGCAGAGAGGCAGACAGAGAGAGAGAGGGGAGGAAGCAGGCTCCCTGCGGAGCAGAGAGCCCAACGCGGGGCTCGATCCCAGGACCCTGGGATCATGACCTGAGCCGAAGGCAGAGGCTTAACCCACTGAGCCACCCAGGCGCCCCTATACTAATTTCTAAGTGTCACACAGCTTTAAGAGTAAAAACAAGGAAAAGTAAGTAAGAAAGGACTGTGAATCTTAGTTTTAGTAGTCTTCTGCCAAATAGAGGATATACATGGGAATTTATTTGGTGACATATATTTTGCCCAGATCTGATTAATCAATGAGTTATGCAAGAATAGCTTTCTTGGAGAGCCTGCTTCTCCCTCTCCTTCTGCCTGCCACTCCTTTCTCTCTGTCTCTCTGTCAAATAAATAAATAAAGTCTTTAAAAAAAATTATTTACTCCAACTCAATAGCAAACTCAGAACCAATGAGGTAGTACACATAAAAATGCTCTATAGTTTGATCAGTGGCTTACAAATTCCCTGAATATCCTGGCATCAGAACTAGTGAACACCTCTGCAGGTTTTGAATGCTATTATTCTTCAGAATAGTTCCGAAATTACTCTTCAAATTACCCTATAAATATGCAATGGTAATATTGTTCGACAAATCCACACTCTAAGTAAGAACGCACATTTCATGAGCTGAGTCACTGTATCATAAAATGTAAACATTAAGATTTGTCAGTTCTTATAAACCATCCAGCATATGCAGTTTATACTACAGAACAGAAAATTATGATAAAGAATAAATTATGTGTTTCAGTAGTAAAAATAGTAGGACAAGCACTGGAGCATGTGATTCCCCATTTTGAAATGTTTCCATTTACACAAATACAGAAATTTACCCAAATGGAGAATTTTTTTTAAAGAGTTCATTTACATTGTAATTATCTAATGGGTTAAAATATTTATTGTTGTAATAAAAAAATAGTCATGTGCTATTGCAACTACATTTATTATAACAAAATGAAAGGCATTACATTTTGATTAAAGTGTTCTTTTCTATAATTACAAAAGAAGTAAAACAAGGTACAGAAAGTCAAATTTTAGTGTACTTAAAATGCAGAGTTAATGTCTCAAAAACAGTCCATCCTACTGTAATACTTGTAATTACTATGTTACTTTAGAGACAGCATGTCAGATCATGTCCCTTGTATCTAAATTCATAAAGGCAGAAACTTGATTTATTGTGCTTAATTGGTAAGATACATATCAGTTCCTATCCCCACCATCAATGACAATAATACAGCATCAATGCTGACCTGAATGCTATTGTGGAGATATTTAATTAATGTCACACTTCTAAATGCCTGTCTGGTCATGTTGTTTAGGATATATAAAAAACAATTCTATTAATATAATTAATTTTAGGAATATCATTTTGTCAGATTCAATTGAAAATCATTAAAGTGTGCATTAAAATAAAAATTTATGCTGTGCTTTGATATTTAGCATCTATTATGGATACTATTGATTTATTTATTGCACACAGTACATTTCAGTAACAGTTTCAACATGTCTAAATGTGCAGCATATACAGTTTTTGCAATGTAATTAGTTAGAAATTGGGGAAGCTTAATTTTAAAATTGAATTGTTCATGAAAATCTATTTCATACTCTCTATGGCTTGAGCAGTTTCTCTTCATAAAATGTTCTATAGTTGTGTGAAGAAATTAAGTGCAGTTAATCAGAAAGAACATTATCGTTTGACACCTAATTTGAAAGCCCTGTCTTGAAGCAGTGAATGATTGCTTATAGAATTACATATGCCGATGAAGACCCAAATAGGAAATCCATTTGTGCTCCAAGTAGATCTCAGTGTGCTGTCAGTCAGGGTGGTATTGTCTGTTTTTTTGTGGGAAATATTTCATAAAAGTATACATATAAATTTGTTAAAATGTCTAGTTTCTCGTTTAGTCTTAATTGATGGGTTAAAAATGGTAAAATGACACAGGTGTGTATTATTTAATTATTGTACATTGGAATGCAGGTCAGTGGTCTTAAAGTCATTTTACTATGCAACCAAGTCCATCTTGTTGATGTAAGTAATGTAAGTACAGAAGTAAGTGATCAAGTTCTAAAGCTTAGCATTTTAAGAATGACCACAACAACAGCTAAGTAGTTCTAAGGAAGTCTCAATGGTGTTGATGAAATGTTTTTCATTTCTATTTAATCTATGTTTATGTCTTTTTTCAGTGCCGCCAGCAATCACAATGCCTCAGAAATCCTTTAATGCCACAGCAGAGAGAGGAGAGGAGATGACGTTATCTTGCAGGGCCTCTGGCTCCCCTGAGCCCTCCATCTCCTGGTACAGGTAGGTGTTATACGTGTACATCCTTCTGGCTTGTATCCAGAATCAATGTCATGGAAAAAGATTTCTGATCTTATTTTATCAAGAATAAAAGCATTCTTTAGAATTTTATTAAAAGATTGTGGTGGTTTTGTTTTCAGTTAAATTGGTTAGATTAAATTGTTAAAGAGATTAACAGAGTGAATTAACCCAAGTCAAAGGCCCACTAATCAGCTGGTTATTCTTCGTATAAGGCATGTTTTTGGCCAAAGTGGGCCCAGAAGCCCATGACTAATTCAACCACGTTAATGTTACTTCTAGAGAGTATCTAGAAATAGGAATGCGAGTATTAATAGCATCACCACTGTGTGTATATAAAAATAATATTTTATTAAAATATTAAAATGTAATTGTATGTTTTATTTATGTACCATATTATTCAGGAAAAAAGCTAATTATGTACAGCTAAATTTCCATAAATGTAGTGTCATTTTTTAAAAATTTACTTCATCAAAAGAATAAACTCTCTATTCTAAATCTGTTCCTTGACAGTTTACTTTTATATATTTCTACAGAATTTTTAAATGTTACTTGATTTCTGTTAACATCAAACAGATATCAACATATTTCATTCTTTTTTAAAAATTTTTCATCAGCTTTTTATTAATTGACTTATATTATTAAATATTTTGTCTCTAATTATTTAATACTAATTTGATTCTGTCCATGTTTTTTATTATGTTCAGTTAGCACTGTATAGCTTTTGATGTAGTGTTCAGTGGTTCGTTACTTAAGTATAACACCCAGTGCTCATCACAGCACATGCCGTCCTCAATACCCATCATCCTGTTACCCCCTCCTCCCACTACCTCCCACTGTGAAACCCCCAGATTGTTTCTTGGGGTTCGTAGTCTCTCATGGCTAATTTCCCTCTCTGATTTCTCCCCCTTTGGATTTCCCTCCCTTCTCCTATGGTCCTCCATGCTATTGCTTATGTTCCACATATGAATGAAACCATATGTTGTCTTTCTCTGCTTGACTTACTTCACTTAGCATAATCCCCTCCAGTTCTATCCATGTTGATGCAAATGGTGGGTATTCATCATTTCTGATGGCTGAATAATATTCCGTTGTGTTTATATACCACATCTTCTTTATCCATTCATCTGTTGAAGGGCATCTCAGTTCCTTCCACAGTTTGGCTATTGTGAACATTGCTGCTATGAACATTGGGGTGCACATGCCCCTTCTTTTCACTATGTCTGTATCTTTGGGATAAATGCCCAGTAATGCAATTGCCAGGTCATAGGGTAGCTCTATTCTTAACATCTTGAGGAAACGCCATACTGTTTTCCAGAGTGGCTGTACCAAGCTTCATTCACACCAACAGTGTAAGAGGGTTCCCCTTTCTCCACATCCTTGCCAACATTTGTTGTTTCCTGTTTTGTTAGTTTTTCCCATTCTAACTGTTGTAAGGTAGTATCTTATTGTGGTTTTGATTTGTATTTCCCTGATGGCTAGTGATGTTTAACATTTTTTCATATGTTTGTTAGCCATTTGTATGTCTTTTTTGGAGAAGTGTCTGTTTATGTCTTCTGCTCATTTTTTGACTGGATTATTAGTTTTTTGAGTGTTGATTTTGAGATGTTCTTTATATATCTTTATAGATCTTGGATATCAGCCCTTTATCTGTAATGTTATTTGCAAATATCTTCTCCCATTCCATGGGCTGCCTCTTAGTTTTATTGACTGTTTCCCTTGCTGTGTCCAACCTTTTTAACTTGATGAAGTTCTGAAAGTTCATTTTTGCTTTTGTTTCACTTGTCTTTGGAGACATAAAGAATTTATTGTGGCCAATGTCGAAGAGGTAATTGCCTATGTTCTCCTCTAGGATTTTGATGGATTCTTGTCTCACATTGAGGTCTTTCATCCATTTTGAGTTTATCTCTGTGTATGGTATAAGGGAATGGTCCAGTTTCAATATATTTCATTCTTTTGGGTTGTGGCTCTAACTGTTAAAAAGGAGACAATGAAACTTTACAAATGGACAATCTTAAAAATGCATCTTAGTTATTAATTCTGGTTACCACTCAGGCATAACTACAGATATTTACAGAATCTCTTCTATGCTTCATGAACCAAATAGCTTAAGAATAATCACAAGAAAACAATTAGTAGAAATATATTCGTATTGACAAAAATTAGCCATAGTGAGGATTACATTTTTTAAAAAACTTTTTCAAGAAGAATAATTACAACCCAATTCCCTTTTTTTCTATTAATTCCTGAGCACTTACTGATATTCTGCTCCTTTCAAACTCTTATCCATTTAATACAGCAGGTAGCAATAAACAAGATATTTCTTCAAATAAGGTAAATAGATGTTCTTTGCAAACATTAATTCCTTTGTGACATACTGTTGGTATTTTCCAAAGGATTACACATCAAACATGAACATATTCACCCCAGATAATGATCATGTATCTCTGAGACTTCTGGTTTCTGGTGTGTATCCTTAAGAGTCAATATTACATCTAATTGCAGCACAGAAAAGCTCTTGGATCATTCATTACAATGAACAAATATTGTTCTAGAATCTCATTCTCATCATTTTATCTTTCCAGGGAGACTTCCTTCTGTTTAGATTTCTGTCTTAAAGTTCAACATTTGTTCAAAATTCTCATATTTAAGTGGATACATAATTATCATACAGGCTAGAATAAGTCAAATTCATAAGCTAATATAGTAAGTCATTTAAATCTGTGTTTTTTATCTTTACATCTTCATATAGCATTTGTTTCATCCCTTTAATGGTACGAATAATTGTTCCATTCTCTAGATAATTAATGTATAAAAGCAGAATGGGAGTATATGGTAATGACATAGAAAAAATTAAAATTAGTTTTTATTTTGACATTTATATATGTCATATTTATATATGTGTATATATAATGTATAATTATAATGCTTATTATTTTTTCTTAAATATTTGGAAAATTTTCCAGTGAAATAGCCTATGCTAAGACTTGTGTTGTGTAAAGGTTTAACTACAAATTCGAGTGCTTTCATAGATCTAGGTTTATCCCAGTAATATCTTTGTCTTTAGTGGTCTCTGGTGCTATCTATCTTTCCAGCAATTTGTCCATTTCATTTCAGTTGTTTTTACTAGCATATAGTCATTCACAGTATTTTCTTATTATACTTATAATTTGTGCATTATCTATATTGATCCTTCCTCTCTCATTCTGATAACCCGGTCACTGGTTATTTGTTCTGCTCTCTTTTCATCCCGATCAGTCTAGAGAAATGTTTATGAAAAGAACGATCTTTTCAATGATCAGCTTTTGTTTCACTTATTTTCTTCTTGTTTTTCTATTTTCTAATTCATTGATTTCTGCTCTTATTTTTATTTTTGTCTTCCTTTTTTTTTACTTTTTGTTTAATATTCTCTTCTATTTTTAGTGGCTCAAAGGGGATACATACATCATTGATTTCAATCGTTTATACTTTTCTAATATAAGCATTCATTTTTCCCTTTAACAATGCTTTAATTGCACTGTACTAATTTTAATATGTCGCAGTTCCATTTTTGTCCAGTTCAAATATATTTTTAAAAGATTTTATTTATTTATTAGAGATAGAGCGTGCATGAATGCACGTTGGGGGAGGAGCAGAGGGAGAGGGAGAAACAGGCTCCCTGTTGAGTACAGAGCCTGATGCAGGGTTTGGTTCCAAGACCCTGAGATCATGATCAGAGCTAAAGGCAGGCCTTTAACTGACTGAGCCACCCAGGCACCCCTTATTCAAGTATTTAATTTTTTTTTCTTGTAATGTTCTCTTGTTTGTTTCAAGTTTTATTTACATTACAGTTAGTTAACATATGGTGTAATATTAGTTTTAGGTATAGAATTTTAGAGATTCATCACTCATATATGATAGCCAGTGCTCATGACAGCAAGATACCTCCTTAATATCCATCACCCATTTAACCAATTTCCCTTTACTGCCCCTCTAGCAACCTTCAGTTTATTCCCTGTAATTAAGAGTCTCTTTTGTGGATTGCCTCTCTCTCTCCTTTATTCCCCTGTGTTCATCTGCTTTGTGTTTTAAATTCTATCTACGAGTGAAATCATATGGTATTTGTTTTTCTCTGACTTATCTCGCTTAGCATCGCATACTCTAATTCCATCCACATCATTGCAAAATACAAAATTTCATTTTGATGGCTGAGTAATATTCCATTGTACTATTTCTTTATCCAATTACTCTATCCTTTCATCAGTCTATGGACATCTGGGTTCTTTCTATAATTTGGCTATTGTTGATTTTGCTGCTATAAATATCAGGATATAATTGTTCCTCCATATCAATTCTTGTAACATTATTTTTGACATTGGTTATTTAGAATGTTGCTGATTTTTTTTCCAAATATTTGGGTATATTTCATATGTATTTCTGCTACTAATTTAAAACTAAATTCCTTAATTGTTAGAAAACATACTTTGTATGATATCAATTTACTTAAATTTATTAGGTCTCACTTTATAATATTTTCAAATGTACTGTTTGCACTTGACAAAATACATGTATGTGTATATGTGTATATATCTATACAGAGATAGATAAATAGATAGGTATTCCACTATCATATGGAGTAGTCTCTAAATATCAAATAGATCAGCTAGGTGATTAGTATTATTCACATCTTCTATATCCTTACTGATTTTACAACTATTATTTCTTTCTGTTCTCAGTTCTCTCTGTTTTATTCCATGTCTTTTGAAGCTCTGTTATGTGTTTAAACATTTATCAATGTCAGTATTGTAAAAACTATTAAAGAAGTTGTTTAGGAATAAAATGATACCAGATAGAATTTTGAGTCCTTTTTTCTGTTTTCAAATTTTATGTCTTTAAGTTTATTAAAATATATTGCTATATTTTCAAATTATTGGTTTTTTTCTTTAGCAATGTTAAACTGCTCTCAAATTTACCAGAGTATATTTCATCATCCTATTTTTTATCTC